CCTCTCCGTGCTCACGGTGACTACCCAACCTGCACCCAGCCGTAATCACCTTACCCCTCCACCAACCCGAGATCGCGGAAAGGAAAACCCTCCAGGAGACCGACCCGGAGCTGCAACCCATCTACCGACCCCTATCTCTGCAATTACCACGCCCATCTAACCACGAGATGCAGAGTGCCAGCTATTTCACCAAGTGCCTATGGGCCTTTTGGCCACAGCTTCGAATTGTCAGCGGTGTCCTGTACTACGGCCCGGAATACATGCTGCGAATCGTGGTTTCTCCAGCAGCCAAGGATGCTGTGCTAACTCGCCTACAGGAGGAACTCGGTCATACCGGGCAAAAGAAAACTGAAGGAGCCTTCCAGCCGACGTTTCTGGTGGACACACATGCGGCGCGACATACTGTGAGTCTACTGTGAGTCTTGCACTTTGTGTACTCAACTCAAGAACTCAGCACCTGTTCCCCGTGCACCCCTCCAACACCTCAATGCGGGTTTCCCCAACGAGATTTTGGCTGTCGACATCATGGGTCCATTGCCGTTGACAAAACGTGGCAACCGCTACATCCTGGTAATGGTCGACCATTTCACGAAATGGTGCGAGGCGGTACCGCTGCACAGAACGGACTCCTGGACGGTGACAAAAACGATTTTCATCGAATGGTTTGCTAGATGGGATGTCCCGTACCAACTACATTCTGACCAAGGCTCCAACTTCGATAGCCTGCTCATTCGTGAGCTTTGTCATATTGTGAACATCAAGAAGACGCGCACAACAGCCTATCATCCCGAGGGTAACGGCCTTGTAGAATGCACTAACCGCACCATTAAAGGACTACTGCGCACCTTCGTAAATCACGAAACATTCGACCAATGGGATACCGCCCTCCCGCGCTGTCTCCTGGCCTACCGCGCTACGGTTCACGCCGCCACTGGCCAAACCCCGTACTGCATGGTGACTGGAAGGGAAATCCGCCTACCATCCGACGCCCGCCTCCCAGCTGGACCTAATGAACCACTCTGCTCCACCTCACATGTCTGCCAACTCCTAACCGGTCTCCAACGCACCCACGCCCTGGTCCGTCAACATCTTCAGGCGGCAGAAAGATACCATAAATCATACTGTGACCGCCGAGCTCATTTCTCAACGTTCCAACCGGGCGACCGTGTGTGGCTCCTGGAACCTATAATTCCCGGGTTTGAACCGCTCCACCACCGCCCATCTTCCAAGGCAGCCTTTGTCTGGCCGCACCTTCTTGAATTTTGATTTTAAGTTTGTATATTCAATGAATAGAAAAGGAAATAGGAAGAAATGTTTTATTGATTTTTTATTTTGTGAAACTGTGAAAGTTTGTCCTAATCGCCAGCAACATTTTCCCTGTAGTTTTTCATCAGCAACATTGCAATAGTGAAACAAGAGTTTTTTTGGTTGTAGCTACCTGGTACTAAAAAAAGGTTGTGAGCTAAGACGAGAGAGCGGGATTAAGTTACGTAAGATACAGTAGAAACTAAATGTCATGCATAGCAAGTGATATAATCTGGAACGGACACTGGAGATAAAAACAAAATAATTAGTTCTTAAGATTGTGGTTGATGATACTGGATGAGGAAGCTGGCGGATGGGATGGAAGGTTGATGCTCTGTTTTATGCACAATCAATCCGTTATTCAAGCCAGTGTAAGAACAGTGTTTGGACCAGCTTTTTTGCTTGCATAAGTCAGGATTGAAAATGCAATTTACAGTCGCCTCGGCCGTGGTTAAAAAGTACCTTCTTATTCCCTTGGAATATCTCTCTGAATACCTTTGAATGAATCCAACTAGTTCACAACATGCCCGCTCTCCACGAGGTGCCTGAGAACTGAGATGCGAATACATCTAACCGTTAATTTGTAGAGGGCAGCAGGGCAGTGCTCAGCAATAAGTTTTGATAATCACCTGGTCGTATGTCCAATGTATCGCACATTATAAGTGAAAAGATATAAAACGAAGGATTTGGACTGAAGAGGCAACTTATCATTTATTTGCTGGGTAAAAATAAGTTACGTATAAGCATTTGTAAATACAGTGTAATTCAATTAATAGAGATGTGTACACGAGCAATCCGGAATTTGGACATTTCCAGTTTTGCCCACTGTTTTATTTTGATGAAATCTGGTTTCCTTGTTTCATACAATCTTTTACCAGTAAACCAAACTCCACCATGGCTTCCTGCAGTCCTTGTCCAGTGGTTGCCACAGCCGGTTTTAACAGCACCGTATGTTTGGTTCGCGGCCAATCGTATGAATGAAACACATCCAGATCGGCCTTGATCGTGTGAGTCGGTTTGGAATGTGGTAGATCCTGTTTATTGGCCACAATCAGAAATGGGACACCGCTCAGAACCGGATCGTTGAGCAGTTTGTCCAATTCCGTACTGGCCTCATCAAATCTGGCCGTGTCCGCACTGTCCAACACAAAGATCACACCACGTGCATCCGCGAAAAATCGGGACCAAAGTTTGCGCAGTTTTTCCTGACCACCAATATCCCAAGTGAGCATGGTAATCCCGGTCCCGGGGATACGCACCTCTTCCACATTGATACCCACAGTTGGTATGGTCACAATAGCAGAGCGCAAACGAAGCCAGTACAACAGTGTTGTCTTGCCCGCATTGTCCAAACCGAGAAGTAAAATTTTACACTGCGGTTCAGACCAAAAACTGAACCATTTCACAAAACGACTGAACACGAGTCCCATGTGGAACACCGATTTGTGAGTGTATATGCCTCGGCTGGCGTGATACAGTGTACTGTAATCCTTTTTGAATGGGACTCACAAGTAAAAAAACAACTGGGAAGAGAATTAACCGTATTCCTTGGATGGGATCTAGGATATTAGATGAAGTAGGAGACGAACAGACACTAAAATAAGATGTCCTCCTAGACGGAAAATGAATTAATCAAACTAGCGATCAATAGGCACTAGCAGTGGCTCGTTCGTGTGAGCAGGATAGCCGCAGGTTTTATTGGTCACTGTGGAAAAGTCAATAGGTTTTTCGTGCACGAATGCAGTTGTATGTGTGTATGTGTGTGTGCGATGTGCACGCATGCGAGCTACCCAATGAGAGCACGAAAGAGCGAGGGCGTGCATGCGAGCACATGAGTACTGGTTAACAACTTAGGTTCAAGTGAACCTTGACCTAGATTGTTGCTCTGATAAAAATGGTCGTCTTCGGTTGTATATTGATTGTATAAAGTGGAATTCTTCATTTGTATCGATCTGGAAACCGGTTGGTTACTGTTTTATGGTATTCTCTGACATTTCGAAGATAGAGAGATGTGGTTTCGCATTCACATTCCTTTGGCTTCACAAAATCTCTAGCATTTCAGCTTCCGCACAGTCGTTAGTAACAATGGTCGTTATTATTATAAAAACTATAAACGGAAACGGAAAATTCCTGTGCATTTGTGTGTCACGAAAGAAATATTCAAAAGGATACCGATAGTCACTAACGAACTATGATAAGTGTCAAAGAAAGTGAGACTACCCTGGTGAAATTTCAGTATACGACTTGGAAGAAAGTGGCATCCCAGAGAGCACGTCGTCGGTTATTAGCGCAATAATAGACGGTTACAATAAACTTCAATATTTTAAATTCCATTTTATGATTCCCGTCTTTTCTGTTCTCTACTCCATTATAAACCCCAAATTTTCTCGCGGAATTACAACCCCGCAGTGGGCCTAAACACACGTTTTGTGATGATTACAACGAAATT